ATTGCTAGAGAGCAGGAAAGGAGGTGAAAGGAGACAATTTTAGAGAAGAAAATGTTCGGTCACTACCCTGATTCGAACCCGGGACCTTTGAATGAGAGGCCAACACCTTAACCTCTAGGCCACGAGAGCCCCCGTTTTCTACTTTTGTATGTTACCTTATAGTGGCATAGCCAAGATAACTGCTAAATTTCAAGTCTCTATTCAATTCTAAGACCCCCATTGCTATGGAAACATGTTGCTCAACTTCGGAGGTCATTTTCTCCTTTTCGTGTTTCCACACCTCACACAATCAAAAGTTCTGTATTTTCGTCAAATTGTCATATTTACTTCATTCTAGTTTTAAATTGTAGGGAAAAAGTGATAGTTTTATAAAATAATGTTAACTCAATTTTGAAATTTCCTTATGACTGATATTGACCGGGAGGGACACATGGTCACATTTACGAGAGTGGCTAATCTGTGATGCAACGCGGGCTGTTCAATGATCACATGTTTTAACTCCCTTGGTTGATTGACTGTGCCCGCCCACGTTTTTGTTCCGTAAATTATAATCTGAAATGCGGGATCTTAGCACAAAGTATAGACCTTTAAAGTGAATCATAATCAGAGCGGGATATTTTAGGGGTGACTTTGTTTAGTAAAAATTCCATTTTCTTTTTTTTTACAGCGGGGTCTTTAGCAAACTGAGATAATAGTAGTGGCCAGGATCTTAGGCAGAGACTACAGCCACTTGTAATCTATAAAACAATTAAGATTGAAGTACTACTACTACACCATTAGGGGGGCTGCCCAGTTTGTCACAGGTCATGACAGGCCTGTACCAAGAGAACAGGGTCATGTCCATCCATTCTTTGATGTCGAACCACCTCCTTTCTTTGTCGGTCTCTCTTGGCTTTTGAAGTGTTAAATGGTCTTAGATAATTTAAATTGCATGCGTTTCTATATCAATGTTTGTAGCCTATCTAAAGTATAAAAGAAAAACTTTTATCAACAACGAGTAATATTAAGTCAGCATTTTATTTATTCTCTGTTTAGCATATTATTTTAATTTTTGTGAGCACATTTACGAAAAAAAAAAAAGATTTTTTTAAGGATTGACAAGTTTTTAAGGCATTTGGAAAGTTGTCGTGACTGATTTGGCCTGTGACAAACTGGCCTACTATAACTACTTCTACTACTACTATAACACTACTAGATCTAGATTCTAGATCTAGATTCTATAACAAATCTAGATCTTCTACTTAGCTACTAGATCTAGATCTAGATCTAGATCTAGATTCTACTATTGCTGCTGCTGCACTATCTACATTCTAGATCTAGATTAGATCTAGATTCTAGAATCTAAGATTTAGATCAAGTCTACTACTACTATAATAATAATAATAATATGTACTAGAGATCTAGACTAGTACTTATGACTTATATTATAATAGATCTAGTATAGTATAAATCTAGATTTCTAGATATCAAACCTAGATCTAGAATCTAGATCTAGATCTAGATCTAGATCTAGATCTAGTAACAACTGCAAAACATCAAATTATTGTAAAAATGCCCCCCTCATACTCATACTCATATATTTATATTTGGCCTACTCGTGGGGCCAAAAACCGGTGAATAACAGTTGCGGGGTGGGAACTAGAATCTACCGAAAAAGCGCCCAACAACAAAAATCGTTGACAAAAAAACAAAAGCCAAAATGCAACAAATTAATTACATTTACCTCAAGGAAAGGGCCAGCAGACAACCACCAGACAACATTCATTTGCTTCCCCGGGTAGGGTTGATCTGAGGCCAAGTTGTTTTGAACGTTGAGCTGTGGGTTTCGGTAGGTCAGGGTTCAGAGGTCAAAGATAGCGCAGAGCAAAGGGTCAATATGTGTACTGCGAGGATACAACAGGGCGCGTTTGACAAGGCAATTTTTTTTCCAGATCAGTAATCAAATTGATAGTCAAGTTGCTCAAGATGTAAAGAGAGAGAGAGAGAGAGAGAGAGAGAGAGAGAGAGAGAGAGAGAGAGAGAGAGAGAGAGAGAGAGCGAGCTTTTTTAAGATTTCAAAATGATTTTTATTGAGTTGAAAGGCGTTTGTCCCACACATCCAAACATTTTAACATATGACTCGGAAATTGTATAAATTGGTACAGCACGTAATATATTTAATATTTATTGGGCATGCATTCATGCGCATACACATGAATTCATGCGCGCACACACACACAAGCACGCACACACATATACAAACGCATGTATATGTGCGCACATACGTAGCTACGTACACACGAGAGAGAGAGAGAGAGAGAGAGAGAGAGAGAGAGAGAGAGAGAGAGAGAGAGAGAGAGAGAGAGGGGCAAAGATAGAGACAGAGACACACAGATATGAAGACAAACAGGTAGACAAACAGATCGACAGACAGTCAAACAAACAGACAGACAAAGGAAGTTTATGTGTAATAAGTAGATAATGGGTGTGACTGTGTGTGTGTGTGTGTGTGTGTGTGTGC